TGATCAAACAAAGAGCAGATAACTTACTGTATAAACACCCAAGCTAGAATATTAAAAAATAAATAATAAATAGAAAAAATGAAACCGTCTTTGAGTATAATGTGTAAACCAATCTAGACCAATCTGCCGTAAAACTTATAGCTTAAGTCGACCTCTATCCGGTGCCTTTCAACCTTGCTTTAATTTGCTGAAAAGCTTGAGGCCCAAAAAAAAAAAAATCTCTTCCATCACTCACCAATCTACACCACTCAATTCATATATAGTATTACCTTTTTCTTTGCCATAATGTTGGTCTCGAGAGCATTGCCCTTCATAATTATGATCTAAATCGTAATCATCAAATTGAAGTTGAAAGCTGGCTGCCTAATTCTTTTCAGGAAAAAAAAATATTGTCCATGAATTATACTACCAGGCACTAGCATATGTTTCTTTCATCAATTTCGATGCTGGGGATTTAAGTTTGAGTTCGACATAATGGACTTACCCGGACGGATATGATGAAGCTCTCTCTTAATATCGGAATTTGCCACGGATATGTTGCTGCTGCAACAGATCTATACGCAGTAGTATACAGCAGATTAATGAAGAGTACTTGTGGGGCTGCGTTGCGATGAAGCTTTTGAGGAGGGCTGCGTTGCGATGAAGCTTGTGGGGTATTTTTTTTGTGCCTTGTTTAATCTCTAATTTTGATTTTTGGGTTTTTTATTTTAATTGATGTTGGTTATAGAGATTAAGTCACCCAAGCTAGATTAATCGGTTAACTAAATAAACATGGTTCGAGTTGGGTTGTTTCATGATTGGGTTAATAAAAGGACACTTGGCAAGTTTAGGAGGGGTGGGATAGGGTGTGAGACAGGGTTGTGGTACAGAGGATCCGTTGCGGAGTAAGTTGAGAGTTGCTCTGTGCATTGTAGATTTGGTCCGCTTTCAAAGAGGAGGCGTGGGTTGTTAACTAAATGAGCCAATCTGGGCCGTCAGCGGCTTTGTACGTAACTGTAGCCATTCTTGACTAAAATGGGCTCAAATGTAACGCTCTTCTGTGGATCCAGGAAGTTTCAATATTCAGTTGGACTCCGACTTTGTCGTCTGTAGACAGCCTCTCACCTGCTCGTGGTCCTGCTTGTACTCACACTTACAGATAACTAGTATCAGTTGCGGACGCGACGGATCCATCACACATTTAGCAGCTGCAACTAAAATTTTTTATTTCACAGATGGAATTGGCTCCTTTGTTAGATTCGATGGATATGCGTTCAGTCAGGGTTTGGGCTCACACTTGGTTAGACCTGACTTTCAAATATTTATGGCCCAAATTATGGGTGTTTGGATCATTGGGTTTTTGACGATTGGGTCTACCCAAATTTGGACCACGCCCTTGTCACTTAAGCTTTGCATGAAAGGATTTATTGTGTGTTTTTGAGATGCCATTTTGTTGTTTTTTTTTTATAACAAAACACATTTCATTAACAGATTGCTGGAATTGTCAAGCAGATTGATATACATCGTTGCCCTAATGATAGATAAAACATGCACTAAAATTGTAGATCTGCAATTTAACAGATACAAAAGACCTGAGAAATTAATAACAGATCTAAAAGGTACCATTAATTTTAAAATAATCTCCTCATAGAATAAATCGCTACAGCCCACTCTGTGCATGTTGCAATCTTCAGATTTACTAATCAACAGTTATAAGTTCCAATAAAGATGATGAGATCTGTTGACATATATTCAAATTTGAAATAAATTTAGATCTGACAACCAAATTTAAAGTAAATTCAAATTCAAACAACAAAACAAGAGAAAATAACACAAAATCTCACTTGGAACTATTAGGAGAACAAAAATTCTCACTAGGAACTCTAAAGAAATAGAGATCTCTCACTAAAAAAATTTAAAAGAAACTTTATTAGGAAAATAACAAAACGAAACCCAGGCTCCCTCCCGAAAAGAAAGGAATTCAAAGAAAATTAGCAGTAGAGAAAAATTGGAGAAGAGGAGGAGTGTTCTTCAGTGACTATGGATCATCACTTAGTTTAGACGTAGGGTTAGCTAGAGGTAATCCCAACCATTTAGGTATGTAATAGAGGTGGCAAAACGGGTGATTTGGGCGGGTTTGGGTTGGGTAAAATGGGTAATGGGTATAAGTGAGTCAATCCATTTATATCCATTTAATTAGATGGGTATAAATGGGTAAGTCAAAAAATGAGTTGGGTAACCCAATTATCCATTTATAACCCATTTATTCTAATTTTTTACAAGCTCATATAAATTCATTTTGTAAACTAAATTATCAATTTATACCATTTTACACCCATCATTAATTTTAAATATTTACTTATTATGCCAAATAAGTTTAATTATCAATTTTTTTTCCTTCCGCATGCCATGTTGCAAAATTACATATTATTTAATAATTGAACAATGAGAATCTAAAAATTTGGACTAAATAATAACAAAAAAATTTAATCCAAAACTTTGAACCCCTAGTATTTTTTCGTTTATAAATTTAAAATTTCATTTGAAAAGGTAAGAAAGGAATCTAAAATTTGTCATAAATTGATGATGCTAAAAAATGATCAAATTAATAAATTACAAGGAAATAAAGCGATAAGATAAAACCAACAAATAAATATAATAAATAAAACAAAAATACTTAACATCAAAAATAGTTAAAAATCCTTATGAAGACTAGCAATCACTTCATTTAGCATACAAATAAAGACAAATTTTCAATAAATACGAATAACAAGCGACTTAAAAAAACTGAAAATTTTCTCTCAAAAAAACAACTTAAAAGAAAGAGGTTTAGAAGTATCTTACCAAATAGAGAAGAAACTGAAACTCAAAACCGGTAAATATACGGAGCTTCGTAAGAGAATTGCGCAACTAAAATTTCGTCGCATTTGTTTCACCAGCTGATCATGATTTCAAAGTCTCAAGTTCTCCTCTCTCTTATTAGCTCTCTGCTTCCTTCTTTTCAAAAATTTCCCTCGTTTCTTGCTTACGCTGCCGACTCACGAGTCACGACCGATTCTTCTAGAGCGAGGATTTCACTTGGTTTTTATTTTTCTAGAGCAGGAATGTCAGTTAAATGGGTTAAATGGGTTAGATGGGTTACCCAATTAAACCCATTTAATAAATGGGTTTAATTGGGTAACCCATTTATATCCATATATAAAAATTTAATGTACCCATATCCAATTATTAATGGGCGGGTATGAGTAAAATTAATTAAATGGTTTTATTTGACACCTCTAGTATGTAACAACGCTGAAAGGTGTGAGATGCCATTTTGTTAGTAATTGAGTATAAGCTGATAGATAGATATACTAAATCATTTAAGTGACGATTAATGGAACATTTTCCTTTGGGCATATTCCTCACAAACCCGTTTTAACTTATTCAAATTATGTATTTATTTTTTAACTTTTTACTGTAGTGGTAAGATTTGAGAAACAAAGAGAAATTTGAAATCAAGATCTTTAATTCCATCCATCCGAACTTTAGTAGAACCTCGTTTCTCCTGACATGCTTAAGCTATTAACCATCGTGCAAAAATTGTTGCGCCTTAGTATTTGATTTGATTAAGGGATTAAATGATATCGGAATATTAGACACGAGAGAAAACCGGGCACAAAAAATTTCTCATTAGATTTTTGATGGCCAAGGAAAAATCCAGAAGGCTCTGAAGACAGCCCACCTCAGCCTCAGGACCTCCAAGAGAAATAAAGGAAGGAAAAAATGGCACAGCCTAGGGCGTTAAGCCACATGCAATAATATGCCAATCATAACGAAAAACAAAACCTTCTTCTTGTTCAAAACACACCCATTTGGTTACTTGCGAAAAGTCTTTTTGAGGGTTAGAGAGTTCCAACACAGACATTTTGGCGCTAACCTAAAGTACGAGAATAAGCATATACACCTATACAGGACTCTCTTTATGTTTCTGCACCGAATCTATACCCTTTCCAGGTTCTTAGAATAAATCGAAAGACAAAACATTGATATGCCCACATGAAATCCCCCCTCTCCAAATGCAAAAGTCTACAGAATATAGAAACTCTCTATAGCTAAACTGCTAAACCAAATGGGGAGTTCATCTTCTTGCATTTGTGATCCGTCTTCAACCGTCAACAAGCAAGTTCCGGTCATCAAAGAAGACGGTGAATTGCTCAGATTCAAACAAGGCATCCGAGTAAAAGACATTCTGTTAGCAAACCCCTACAGCAAAGTCATCAGATGCTCTTCAGACAAAACTGTACTCCCAGAATCCTTCCAGCTAAGCTGCAATCAGCTTTACTTTTTATTGCCTCGTGGGCTAGCCTTGGATGATGAAACCTACGACAGCCTCCTTAAATTAGCAGCATCAAGAAACCCCAAATCTTCAATTGTTTGCAGCGGAAGAAATGATAAGAATCTGCCCAAGGAAAATGGCACAAAAACCGGCCTGGCGGGGAATAAGGACATCACAACCAAGGATAAGGATGATTCAAGGTACCCTATGTCACGGTGGAAGCCGGCCTTGCAAACCATACCGGAGGCAAATTCGTCCTCAACCCTGCATTCCTGAGTGGAACACAATCAAGTGGTACCGTAATGTAAATTAGCTCATTGTGAATTTTATGGTGATCGACGAGACTGATGTACAAAAGGGTATCAAGGAAATGCAATCTCGTGTTTTTTTTTTTTTTTTTTGACTCTTGCTGCGCCTTAATATATATATATATATATATATATATATATATATATATATATATATATTACATTTTTAATGATTTTTTGCTAACAGATATAGGGTTATTTGCTCTTCAACTTTCTGCACCAATATTATGTGAGGAAAGTATATTATGGCTGAGTTACTGAAGCATGTCAGGTATACGAAGAATTAATCAGAAAAAGAAAATTGATGCATAATTCAACCATATGCGTGCCTACGGCCGGCTTGAATTTGCTTGAATATGGCGAAAAAGGTTTAAACTAATGTAGCGATCAAGTAGAAGGCCGAAAATTTATCAAGTCAATCACGTAGTATATTTAATAAGTGCAAGAAGGTTATGAATGCCCAAAGCCACGTACATAATCCATTTATTACACAGTTCCTCACCATGAAATTTTTCCTTCATATTTTTCTATTTTTGATTCGATTGAAAAAACAAACAGAAGGATATTTCAACCTTACGTAGACGAAAACGATATCCATTGAAAAACAACAATCAAGCAAATGCAGCAGAGCCGAGTGGCTGGTTGTTAGGCATAATAAAATGAGTTGAACCAATGGCAGAAATGCCGAAAACTCCCGAGTTCATCTCCCACTGGCATACAATGCTAGTCGCTTTTAAATGTGCCTTCTAAGCACAGCGTCCAAAATTAGTTTAGCAAAGTAAAAAGAGTATTCGTGCAAGCACCAGCAAAAGAAGAAGATCTCATCCTTGAAAGAAACAAGTAATCAAATCTGATCAGGAGCTTGTTTTGCAGGAAAAAGTGATTAAAATGCAATAAAACCTGTACTTTGTATTCTGGGACAGCACAATGAAGTAGCCTTTTTAATACTACTAGTCCTACTCAACTCCACTTTGCTTCATCAGAATCTTTAGAGACAACAGTAGTTGGTAGAATATATAACTTTATACAAGAGCACAACCAGTAGTAAAAGCCATTTTTAGGCACCTTATTTAATGGGTTGGGAGGTCAAGAAAAGAAGTGCAAGAAGCCAACCCAAAAAAAAAAAGAAAAGGAGAGAGAGAGAGAGAGAGAGAGAGGAGGCTTGGGGGGGGGGGGACTGAGTCCATGGTGGCCTGCTCTGCAGCTTAGCTAGGGTTAAGGCCGTACTGTTGAAACACATAACGAGGTAGGCTGATAAGAAACCGCCCCGTTAATTGGATGGAGAGGCGGCAGAGAATCATGCTGTTTACCCCACCCGACCTCCACTTTCTCAGAATGCATCATCTTAACCTTACCTACTGTTGCCGTTTGAGTGTTATTTCCCATAAAAAAACTATTGCAGAACAAACACTTGATACATTTTCCCATATGTAGACATTCAGTGGAGACTAAATTAAGGAGTCCAGGAGAGATTCATCACTTCCCAGAAAGTGGCGATATTCAACAAACTCTAATAGGTTCCTACATTAAAATTTAAGATTAGATACAAGTTCCAATGCCAAAACCCATTAGACCAAAAACCGGGTCTTTTTTTCAAGTGGGCACGAAAGTATTTATTCCTGCAAACAACCCACCGGCCTGAAAACTGAATAGTGGAACTAAAAAACCAACAGGTCCAACACCGGGTTTATACTGCTCGCACAAGTACGCTAATATACCTTTGTACTCCAGAGAGCAAAATCTTTTCGACCTCTTACAACCAGTTTTTAGCTGAAATCTTTCACTGGAGAGGAATGAATGAATGCGCTGATAGCTCAAATTAAAAATGGGACAAATGTAGCGCAAGATCAAACTAAAAGGGCTAGCTTGCCAGGACGAGACCAAACAAAGTACTACTACCAAAAACCATTTTTGAACAAACAACAACAACGAAGCAGGACATACCTGAGAAGAAGAAAACACTGAAAGTAACTGGAAATCAGGTATGTACACTGGCTTCTTTAAAGAAAAAAGCTTCATTTACAATATCTGAAATCTCACAACATTAGGCACAATACAAGGAATTTCTCTAAATTGTTTAACTACATTTTGAGGAACTTTCTAGAATTATTGTTATTACCATCGTATTTAGAGTACAGACTGACTGAAATTTGAGGGATCTTGAAGGCCTTGACCCTAGCTTGCAAAATACAATCCAGGTTCCCAAGCAGAACTAGTTTGTGAACTGTAAATTCAGACATACAGAAACTGTTAATGCTATTAGGTATGTCAAATTTCAGATAGAATTCTTGTCATTGAAGCTCCTCTCTCAGCCAAAACTCAAGACACCTGAAAGCGTGTACGTCCACTCAATTTTACACTGCTTACCTTTTGATGATGCCTGAGTATGTAAATATCAAAGTCATGCAGAAATCATGTAAAAAGAAAGGGAAAATTGGATTGTGGCACCAAAAGCTCTCCTGAATTGTCCCTCTGACAAAATTCTATGGCAGCTTAAGTTAGTAAGCCCTTTCAAGTCAAATTAGAAATTTAGATTGTGAGAGCACATTTTGGGTTTTGATCCTCGCCGACTTGAAATACAATGTGAATGTCACAAGAGGATAGTGGATGATGCATCTTCTGAGCATATATATGTTGAAAGCCAAAAAAATCCTACTAAAAAGTCTAGAGAATCATTGTGACATAGAAAGATCTAGTTTGTAAGGAAGTGGGAAATAGTTGAATTGTGCACTCTGGAATTAACTACAACCATACAAATTAAGAGCACCAGTGTGAGTCCAAAAATCATCTGAAGTAGCTATATAGTGAATGATAACATACCTGCAATTTGATCGAATCATTTGCAATGTACTTCCGGCGATGATTGATAGAAGAATAGGAGAATCCTCTTCCAACACAGAATTTCGAATAAAGCTATGGCTAACACAATAGAAGAAATCAATGAAAGGGAGCTCCCTTCAGTCCAAGCACAGAGAAGAGAAGGATGTGGTTTACCTCCCGCATCATTCACACATTCACAGTAGCACAATCCCATGATCCTTTCTATTGTGTTTGAATGAATGAGTCGGCAGCTAATTCAATCCCTCCGCCCACCCATGAGTGGACTGAAGAGAGCTCCCTCATATAATTTTTGGCAATGCAGCCAGCAATCACAACGGCCAAAGGCTGTTGGGAACAAGGATAACTCCAATAGCAAAAATCCCAGCATACAAGTCATCAATATAGATTATCACACAATAGCTGCTTTTGATGCACTAGATAATGTTATTACCATGAACTCAAGGAAATGATAGCTTAACTATCAAGGTAGAATTATGCTCTAGCCAAACGGCAGATTTTGTGGTCCTCTAATCTAGCTCCCGGTTGTCACAGTCTTTATAACTTTTACAAGTATTTTCTGTAACTTTAACTTGATGGAAGAACGACTCTCTATGTGTTTCTTAGTGCCCACTATAATCTAAAGCACAATCTGGTTTCTTTGCTTCCCCCTTCCCCCTTCCCCCTCTTATACGCTAATGATTCTTACCTCTGGGGCAGGAGAAATTGGCATTGGATAGCCAATGGACTATGATCGTGTTAAATGCTTGATAATTGGATTTTAGCATTAATATCACTGATACAGATTCTTTACGGGTAACGGCCTTGGAAACTAATGATCTCATTAGACATGGTAGGATCATAGACAACAAGTAAGCTATCTGAAAGAGAAGACTTTACTGAAGAAACTGAAAAATATAGAAATGGCATAATCAAAATGCATTCTCTTCTTCTGAAATAGGAATTAGATAAGAAATTCAAGGGCAGGCAGTCTAGATCTATTTAGTGCCAGATGAAGGGCATTAAGCAGTTACTAGTAGTACCTTTTAACGTTGATTGCTTCGTAGGAGAGACGGCAAACAACTTAAAATCAAATTAGTAAATCTAAATCAGACTTTTCTTTTTTAATTTATAATAAAATTATTGCTGATCTAAGAGTATAGACATTGCATTCTCCAAGATGGATGCATCATCTGCAGTAAACCCCAACCCTAGACTCAGGAAGACCATATATGTATACATCCTCTAACCAGTGAGTGAGCACAGAATGTCAAGGGAAGAGGTCAAGCGAGAGAGAATAAAAACAATATAAAGAGATAACTAAAATGACCACATGCAGAAAAGATGGGCATAAGACCAAAAAACGATATAGTTAGACATCAAACTCACGTAGATCATGCAGAGAAAGACATATTTTCTGTAAACAGGAGATGTGCCCCCTCGCACCTGAGACTAAGAGTGAAAAAGGAAAAAAGGAAGGTAGAGAAGTACATTATCTAGAAACAAATCGGCAAATCTGCCCAGATTTTGGAACACTAGGAAGGAGAAATTCCCTTATAACCAAATCAAGAAAAAAGTAGAAAGTGAGCTGACTTATATGGTTTCACATGATCAATGACCTAAGATGCACAAAACATTAATAAACATACCTTCTTGAAGGCGAGTTAGAGCCCACTGCTGAATGCATCAACCCCATTTTCAAACCCTATTCATGCAAGTTGCATCTTGAAAGAGAAACAAGTTATAGAACTCTGGGAACAAGAAGGGAAAAAGAGAAGAAAAGCAAAAACGAAGGGAAGTTTACTAGTACTATTTTGAAAGGTGGGAAAGTAAAAATTGGAAAGAGCAGAGATCACGGAAGACGAGCTCCGTTAGAGAGGAAGGGATGTGTCGCTCTCCTCATGAGAGTCAGAGAAAAGGAGTGAGTGATAGAGCAAGATAGAAGATCTCAGCAAATCTGGCAAAAAGAGCAGAAATAAAGAGGTGGGGTGTTTGCTACTACTGCTACCATTGCCCTTTTCCTTTATTTTCTCAGGAGATTTTCAAGTGGGCTGAGGTGTTTTGTAGTAATCAATGGCAAATACATATACAGATACGGCATGAAAGATGATCTTAACTCAAGGGATGGCTCGTATTTATACAGATGTGGATAAAGTGCTGTGCCTCTCTACGTGCTCCCCTCTCCATGGTCTACTTTTATAGGAAATGAAAAGAACATTTGGTGGGGTTTTCTTTGACCATTACTCTTTTCAAGTCTTACAACAGTCTCTCTCTCTCTCTCTCGCGTCAGTGCTTTCATAGACGATATCTATCTGGACTACTCTTTTCCTTGCCCTCCCTCATCCCAACAATTCAGAAGTATAATAGGGTTTGTCCTGTGTTTTGAACCTGGGGTCAGGAGAAGGCGACAGGTCATAGCTCAAATTACATAAATGTCCAGCTTTCTTTTCACATTGATTGCTTTGGTAAATCTCCAAGCCCCCACTGAATTCGGCATGTACCGAAAACCCAAGAATTCCAACTTCCAGTTTAATGAAAAATAAGTACTGGCGCACAACTAGCAATTTTTACTTGGTGCATTAGTCTTTTCGTCTGTTTCACGTATTGCAAGAGATTCCTATGCCATATTCGCTCCTAGACCTCACTGGCTAAACTAAAACGCAGAAGATTGTCTTTTATTTTCTTTTTGCTTTTTTTTTTTTCAGGAATAGTTAAATTGAGGTTCAAATGCCAACGGTGATAAGTGATAGGAGTGACGAAACAAAACGACTCATTAAACGGCAAAAACAGTAAAGTTGCATATAATGCTTTAGAATATTAAGGGCTAAAATTGATGTAACTAATGAAAACAGCTTGTCTTCATTGACGATATTAACGTAAGCATACAATTTAATCAAATCCACACAAGAAAATAGCGTGAGGAAAATGACATTAATTATCAATTTGCAGAGATAAGCTGGTTCTTTAAAATGAATTTGACTTGTCTGCTGATAGCTAGGTGTTGACTCTAGTAACACTAGTGAGTGTATTTGGATTGTAAATTTATTTTAAATAATATTTCACTTGTATCGTAAACACATTTTTACTTGAATCAAATACACATAAGCTAGTAGAGTACGTTTCTGTCTTCTGTTCTAGGTGATGGGTATGTTCTGCTCAATGACAGAATAGCTATGTTCATGATTAGCTTCTAGGTCATGGATAACAAACTAGGTGGATTAAAAATTAGAAAAAAAAACACTCATAGGCCCTAATTACACTAGGTACAACACCCTGGTGGCAACTGGGGTGAGAGCCAATGAAACTGTGGTCTAATAATGAGAATAGCTACAGTTGAGGCTCACTCTTTAATGGGTGTCCGAGTCCGACTGATTAGAGAGAGATTGCAAATGACTGAAAATAGGGGCTGCTCTCATCATGTCCATAAGTATTTTACTGATAAATTGCGCAGCAGTTTCATTCTGTACTTCCTTATATTGTAGTGTAATTCCGCCTCTTTCACAGTTTCATTCACTAGTTTAGTGGAAAGCTATTGCTCGGTGCCAACTGCCAAAATGAAAATAAATAACAACTGAGGCTCCACAAACAAGTTTTGGGTTCCAATTGGGAGTTGTTTATAGTACTGTATTAATGTAAATTTGTAATAGACTTTTCTCTATTCTTTGTGGCCATTTACGGGTCAATTCTTGTGCTTGTGATCTCGTCATTTTCCAATAAAATTTATTGGTGGTGAGAAATTAAAGGCCCTTGTTTCACATCCACAACTACTTCTGCTTGTAAAGTATATGAATCTCACCGATTTGTGAGATGGTTCATAGATGGACTGAGTCCATATCAGAGATATATGACTGCTTTTTTCCTCCACTCACATGGAAGGTATACAGCCCCAAACAATGCTGTTGTTGTCACTGAGAAACTCCAATGGTACAGAACTACAATAACTGGCTTGTCTGCATTTTCCTTAGCAATTAGATGGTTGAAGGAAACACATTCATTTGACTCATTAAATTGATTAGGAAAAAAATTAAAATCAGTGAAAAATTTGTTGTCATTCTCTTCAGGTACTATCCTGCAGAATATACTTCTATATGTATCTATCTGTATTAATTAATATTCAAGTTCATTGAACATAGCTAGTTCAAATTGGATTAGACAGCGTAAAATGAGCATGGGTTTTGTCGGAACCATAAGAAGACAAGCGTGGATAAACATGGATAGAGGGTATTTTGGATCAAATCATATGGCTACACATCACGGAGTTACAGAGAAAACCAACATTTTATGTTACAGAGAAAACCAACACATCACGGTGTTACAGAGAAAACTTTCGACCAACATTTTATGGCTAACCTCATATTCTTCATTATCCTTTCCCCTCTCTGACTCCCAAGTGGCTTGCATGCACCAAGATTTATGCTCATTTCTATTTTGGAAGTTTTTCTCGAGCATATTTGATTTGATTGCAACAACTCCGAGCCGATGGATACATGTACAGATATCAACACAGCCCTGTAAATAGTAACATCTCAGCTTAGTTTTTTTTTTTTTTCTTTTCATCTAAGGCTTAGTTTATCATTCCTGATGACCTATACAGCCTTTCATGCTACCACCGTAGGGATTTCTCCATGTTGGTTTGTCTGGGAATATTAGACCATCTCCGCAGCCAATCCAGCATTTACAAATCCCTATCGAGATTGCATATTATTGCTATGTGATTCATGAATCTGGCAATCGCTGGAAAAAAAAAGTGTAGGAGATAATAACACTGTGATCTATTTTGCAACGTGATGTACATGAAATAAAAGAGTGGATAAAAATATATAAAAAAACAAGTTTATAATGCAAGCAAAAAAAAATTTACATATAAGTTCATACCCAAACAATAAAATATTTTTGTAATTTTTCTATTATGGTCACTCAAACCAATCAAAAAACTTTCTTTTCATTTTTTTTTTATTGAAATCAATACACAACTGATATATTGCAAGAGAGTACGATTACAATTGCATGGGGTAAAGATATATAAGGATGGCATAAAGTTCATAAATTACATATGACTAATCTTTTCTATACTAACAATGTATATCACTGTTAACGTTGCATGAATGACAATTATGCAGAATTTGAATTTAAAATTCAATTTTTGCACATATATATCATGGATTTAATAGTAATATTGTATATAAGATTTACTTAATTACGTATTGCAATTATTGTGGTCCAGTTAGGCGAAAGCAAATCTCACGACCAATTTTGTGGGGTTAATTAGTCCATTTGTATATAGATATATATATTTTTTTTTATCAATATGCAATATCTATACTACTTTTATTCTTATGCTAACTTATCTAAGAAAGAGCCTAACTGGATCAAGGAGAATCGACACGGACTAAATCAACATTGGAACAGACCAGTGCATCACACGCCCGTTTAAATTTAGAGAAATCAAATATTAGTGACAAGTGATGAAAAGTAAGCAGTGAGCCATTGATCTTCTATAGACACTTGAAATGTTTCTGGAATGGGCAAGGGACAGTGGTTGTAGTACATAGGTATATACTTGAGCTACAAAGAATTAGTTTTTAAGTGCTTAAAGCAGCAATCCAAGTCTTTGTCTAACGACAAGAAGATCTTAAGAGCATCACCGCGAGAAAGGCCTGGCTGTTTGACGCGGATGAGTATCAAATGAAAGAGACGCGATCTACTTTCAAAATAATCCGCGAGTGATAGACGATCAACTGTCAAACGAGATTCGAAATAAGAACCTTAAAACACTTATGGGCACACACCAGAATTCGGTAAAAATAGTTGATTAATAAGGAGGACAGTCTGTAATGGCTGTTACGTGTTTTTGCCATAGTTTGAAGTCCTGATGTTTGTATCACCACACACCAGCTGTGTTGAGGTAACAGTGATTGAATAATATGTCTGTACCACTTGAAATTAATATTAATAGTATGGTAGTCAATTTTCAGCCAGTACTCGTCCGTTGCAATTTGTTTACATTTCCATACTCCCTTTCCCAACGATGGCTTAAAAATTCCATCCTATTAAGGACGATGAAAGAAAGTAATTCATTCCGCAATTTACTATTTTAGACGAGAGTTATTGTTTCCATAATCATGATAATTATATATGTGTTACTGAAATATCAGTGTTGTTCTTGGCTAGGGGTGTAAACAAATTTAGTTGCTGCTGTTCTTGGTTAAGGGTGTAAATGAATCTAATTAAACTGAACATTTTAGTGTTCAAATTTGTTTGATTATTCTAACGAGTTTGAAATTTTGTTCAAGTTTGGCATTTTTATTTGCCAAACTGATCTGGATCGAACTGTTTTCGACCGTTATTGGAGAATCAAGTTCGAACGAACTCTTATCAATTTAAATTTAATTCGAATATCAAGTAACTTGGTTGCATCTTTCAGCCGTATTCTTAGTTAAACCAAAATTAATATGTGTATAAGCTTCTATTAAGCAAAATAAACCAAAATTGAGTTGCATATGGACCAAGTGGGAATCGCAATAGAATTCTAAAAGAAGGCCTGCTTAAAAGAAGGCGTGGACCACGCAAAACCCATAAAATCATTGCCCCAGATCGCAATCCAACAAATGGCCCACATGTCTGACAATGGAGGCCCAAGATCTTCAAGAAACTCCGCCGAAACTTTTGACAGAGCACAAAATCACAAAATTGCATGCTTTGCTCTCGCTCATGTTTTGGAGTAATTTTATTCTGGTCCTTTTGCAACATGTTCCAATGTGATTCCTTGGCTCTCCAATTTGACGCTTTTTTTTTTTTTTTTTTGGGGTCAAAACCCTATTTCTCTCAATAACTGGCAAATTTGTTATATCATCATCTGCCTACTTTCCCCCCATCCTTACCCTTTGGTCAAAATATCATTTCTATTAATTGTGAATATAAACTTTGCATCAAATCAAGGCTTAATTTTAGAAGCTTGTCCTAACTACTGTGTAATCCATAGTGGGAAGCCATGTTTGTTTGGATACCTCAATTATTTCAAATAATATTTCGCTTGCATCATAGACACATTTTCCAACCCACCTTTTTATATTTCCAACCACCTTTTTATCTCACATACATCACATCATAAAAAGTGCTACAGTAATTATTCCAAATAATATTTCAAATAATACACTATCCAAACACTCCCGCAGCGCGCTTCCATAGAACATCATCGTGTTTTAAGTTTATTGCAAATGTAGCAATGCTAGTTTCTATTCAACTTTCTTCCTCAATACAGAAGTGAAAACAACAATTCCATATTAATCCAAAGAAAGCAAGAGATGAAATGAACGAAAATTAAAATCTACAGAACAAGAGATAATTAAACGTTGAATAGAACTCATTACAGATTAATGCATTAAGCGTTCAAGTAAACGTTGAATGGGATTTTGTGTTAATAATCTGGCTCCATATGTACAAAGCATCGTAAAGATGAATACATTGAAGTATAAAAAGTTTGGCTCAATAGAAGTTTGATTCAAATAGACTAGAAAAATCAAATCGAGTTTCATGCAATAATGTCCAACTTGATTCGACTCCTTTAAACTTAAATTCCTTCTAAGAATATGGGTTGAAACTCAAAATAGAAGTGGGCAGATAAATGGTACCTGCAACAAAAGAGACTCCGTTGAGATTAGTATTAAAATTAGCGGACGCAAAGTTAATTTTTGCCACCCCGCAAAAAAAAAGAAAAAGAAAAGAAAAAGTGGGGAATGGGAGAAGCATGCCCATTTCATAATTGAAGGAATCGGATCTGGGCTGGTGCGGAATCAGCCGATGCCGAGGTTCAGTTAAACAATACAGCAGGTGGTTTCCCCTTGGCGCTTTTTTCTCTTTCTCTATCTCTCCTTTTTTTTTTTTTTTCGGCCCCCTTTTTGTCCCAGCCAAAAGAGGAAGAAGCAAACAAGGCGAGGTTGTTAGGTACTTTTAAAGAGGGAAAAGGATGTCGAATTCCATTTCTCTCCCGGCATTCAATTCCGATTGACTAGAAAAGTTTAGCTGGATCAAGGATTAGCGTTGGCGGTTCTGGAGTTCTGAGGAGAAGTCCAAAATAATTGATGGCGTATAGGAGGAGGCAGCAATTAGGTAAGGCTTCCACTTTCAAAGAAGAAATTGGGAGTCCGTATAATCCAGCGCCTCCTCCTCCGCTGCAGCTACCGGACGATGTTGACGGCGACGGCGGCACTTCATCGCCTTCCGCATCCTCTCTCGCTGCTAAAGCAATCAGAGCCTCTTCTGCTCATCGCGACTCGTCTCTCTCGTCCGCCTTCTCCTCTCCTCGCGACTCCAATCCCCTTCGATCCTCGTCTTCTTCCTCTTCCTCGCCCAAGGTTCCAGCTTTTCCAATTATCTTATCCTTTATATATTTAAGTACTTATATGCTCTATTGACTTGATTTCAGCATAGCTGTTTTCAGATTTGAAGTTGTTTTTTCCTGACCTTTTGTAGATTTCCGTCGAATTGAGCTGTCACAGTTGAATAGGAATGGGTTTTGTTTTAGAAAAGTTTGACAATTTGGAACTCTTTCTTAGAAATGTTGGACTTGAATCAGAAATATGTTGTCATAGCTGAATAGGAATGGGTTCTTTAAGAAAAGGTTAAAAAGGTGACAATTTGGAACCATTTCTTAGAAATGCTGTACTTGAATCAGAAATATGTTTATAAAGTGCAACTTGGTTCCTTTCCTACTAGCACATAAGTGTGGATTCTTGTGATGTGACAGGAGTAAGCATATTGGCTGGGTTGTAATAATCTCGTTTCTTAAATGTGTAAAAGGAGATGCAACTGCAACGGGTACATTTCTGTCTGAAAAGCTTCAGGGGAATTTTATCATTCTAACTTAGAAGAGGGAATGTGAGTGAGTTGTAAGCTGGGGATTATCACCCTCTGGGAAGCCCAAAGGGACTGAGTGATGGTATTTCGTGCATGTGAATTATAAATTAGTCCTCAATTGGATGTTTTAGACATGAAGCAGTAAGAGTGCGTGATGGTCTATCAGATGCGGTTGCAGGCATGATGTCTTATCCATCTCCAAAGTTTGAGCTGCCTTCTTTTAAAGACACTTTATTGGCTGGGGTTGCCTGTTAAAAGTGCAAAGATGAGGGATCAAAGGTGTAATGTTTCCAAACTAAAAGCATTTAAGCAGTTGTGCATCCAACTAAAAAAGAAGTCAATAGCTGAAAAATACATGCATGCCTCTTCCTGGGACATGCCAAATGGACAAGAAGTTAGTTGATGGATTCTTACATTTGTGCTTCTGGAAAAGACCCAATACCAGTATACGAGGTTTTGGAATCATTTGGATCACTTTGTGGATAGGAAATTTCTGTAGTTTAATAAGTGAATTAATATGTTAGTGAATACTTCTGCTTTAAACTTGATGTGTTGCATGATTTTATGCATTGGAACAGTTTGCAGAATATGCGAAGGAGGAGGCTCTTGGGACAACTTATGTTAGTAAATGTATCTCTGGTTTAAACAAGGACATTTATGAGTTTTGGCATTATCATGTGACTCATGAGATTTTCAGGAAGACACTTGCCTTCTGATAATCAGCACAATTGAAACTGAATGAGTTTCATTTTTCCTTTTTTTTTTGGTAGTGCATTATTTTTATTATTTTTTTAAAGCTTCCTAGCATGTAGGAAGCTTCCTATTATTTCTTTTCCGTAGTGGAGTATTATCTATTTTTTAGCTCTTAATTCCTGTTGTGTGCTTTTTACTCCACTTAATGTTTACTGGTTACATGTAGGGGTTTTCCAGCTATGAGTATACGTCAATGAAAAGCTTGAATGAACCTAAACAAGGATTTTGGGGTGTACTTGCTAGAAAAGCTAAAGCCATTATAGATGATGATAATGCATCCCAACAGCATGAAACACCAGGAAGGACAACACCGCAGATGTCTGGTAGAGCAACTAGAGGCCAGGTGAACTTTAAAAATGATCACTGTGTCTGAACTGGTCAAGAATTTCAAAAGCCATTTACACTCATTTGGGAACAACCCTTATGATTCTCCTTTTATATGGTGTTAACATGTTTTGCCATAATATTCCAAAATTATTCATATGAACTGTCTTTGTATAGCATATCATTTGCTTTTTTCTTTGTAAAGAACCTTTAGGGTAGCCCTTAATGTTCTGTTATTTTATGTTGTCCCTTCACCTGTTTGCAGTATGATGGGACATACTCGTCATATGAAAGCCGTCCGAAGAAAGACAGCCCTACTTTACAAAAGGGACTAGGTGCTCTGGCTTCTTCGCTTAATTACATTGGCGGGACGATTGGAAATGCATTAGAAGTAGGTTTCTCTATTTTTCTGCACAAATGCTTTGGTTTTGAACAATTGTAATTCTTCTGTATGCAGTGTGATTCCTCATGCCAATTCGGGGATGAATTTAATGTTAGAGTTTGGACAATTGTTTATGTAGTTGTATCTCCTTATAAGCAGCATCAGAAGGTTGCCTAAAAGTCTTGACCTGACTATGCTATGATGTTGCATAATATGAGTTGCTTTCAAAGTTTTGCTTCTGTATATTCTTTGATTTTTCTTTAAAAAACTGCTGAAGGTTCCGTATGTGAACATCATTTGAATACTAATATGGCATTTGATGAGGGCTTATGTGCTCGATCCTTCTAAAGTGTAATGTAACAAGTAAGACCTTTTGTTGATCCTTAAAAAAAAAATTGAAGATAAGATGTTTTACTCTGTATAGTTTGATCTAGCACCTCTACAATTTTGAAAAGCCGTGTGCAAATATCTTCCAGGGGACAACTGTTTTGGTAGTCATCCTAGACTTGCACGCAATGTTTGTCTACGTTCTGACATATATGTTCATTCTTTGTCGTGTTCCACAACTAAATCCCCTTCTTTTGCAGGAGGGTCTTGCAGTTGTGGAGAATCGCACTGCAGACATCATTCAAGAAACACGCAAGCTGCAAATTAGGAAAAAAGGAAGTGGTTCTATACCTGAGAACCAGACTTCGAATACTGGTAGTTTTCGGCAACAACCATTGGGCCAGACCCATGTGCAACCCCGGACACATGCAGAATTGGAAATCCAATTGAAAGCATCTCGCGACGTAAGGTGCCAACTCTGTGACGCTGGTTGTATAAGCTCTAATTATTGTGTCAAGGGGGGGGTGTCTATTGTTATTTAGACTTGTTTATTACTTTGAAGTTGTTCCATGTGTCTCTGTCATAGTGCATTTAAAAATTTCATGAATTTATAAAAATAAATCACCATATCTTGTTTAGCAGTTTTTCTGCTCACCTTCCTTTTTGATTGCTTCTTTCATATGCTATAAGTTGATCTTCTGAGAAGATTCTACCATTTGACAGTAGGCTTTTTGGCTCTATTAGCCAAGGTATAATTGTCCCCCCCGCCCCCCACCCTCTTCCCCCCAAAACCTAGTTCAACATCTGTTCTGGTTGGTGTACTTATGTATCTTGATCTTTCTAAAATCAACCACATGAATTTTTTTTGGGGGGTGGGGGAATACTAAAATAATGTGGAAAGGATTAGCAGTTAATTCAACTTTATGTTCTATGATATGGCTTTCCTCTTCTTTATGAGGTATTGTGGAAGCCAAACGGAAAGGTTTTTGCTTGTAAAATTGTAAATGCTTAGATCCCTATTTCCTAGATGATAGTTTCAAAAGTCATGGATGCCATAGATTGATCTAAACTCAATTTTCTTCTATTGCTTGTCTAAACTAGGTTTTGTCACCCTTGACACACTAAAATCTGATATCTAGAAGCAAATTGAGCATTTTCTTGGTTTTTGGTTCTTTATGGCCGGTTTATCCTTTACATTCAGTTTTCTTTCTTGTTTTTCAGTTCCTTTATGGTACTTGTAATTGTTCATTTACTTTCAATTTTCTCATGCCCAATTGGTCCTTGAGCTTTAGAATAATCTGTTTTTCTGCTTGTTTGCCTTGACCTTCCTTATGTTTAATACTGCTAAGACTTGAATAAGAGTAAGAATTTGCTTTAATTATCTCCTTTCTCCATTGATCTTCAGGCTCTTCTGGACATCCCTCAGGATCTTCCTCCTGTTTTGTAACATATTTGTCTTTTTAATGAAGCTTACATGTCCCCCAAAAAATAAAACTAGGAATCTAAACAAGAAAGAAAGGTGATTTGATAATAGCTCATTTATAAAAAAATTCTTGTATATTTAGATGAAATTTTCTAATTTCAATTCTAAGTTGTTGTTAACAGTTGCAAGGTGCATTACATTCTCATTGCGTCAAAACACAGGTTGCAATGGCAATGGCTGCAAAGGCAAAACTTCTTTTACGGGAACTGAAGACTGTCAAAGCAGACCTAGCTTTTGCTAAAGAGCGCTGTGCTCAGCTGGAAGAAGAAAATAGAATTCTCAGAGAAAGTCGTGAAAAAGGAGACAACCCAGAAGATGATGATTTGGTAAACTCTCATGCTGTGTCTCTACACCAGCCCCCTTCCCCCCCCCCCCCCCCCCCCCCAACACCAAGAAAAAAAAAACTAAAGGAAACGTTTGAACTTTCATTTCTATATATTGCATTTTTTTTGCCTCTAAAGTCCAAAAAATAGGGATTTTTTCAGACAAAGTACTATACTTTTGCACATCATACCTTCATTACACATTCATTCTTGGTCTGGCTGCTGGTCTAGTGAGCCTTCCTAGCTGCCTAGAGTGCAGCCTGCCAGTGCTCCATACAGGGGAAATGAAAGCAGAATTCGTTCGGATCCTCCCATATGTTCAATCTTTTTGTTGTGGTTTCCCCAGATATCTTTGTCATTAATGCAACCTGCATTTTACTCATGGGAAGGAGGCAGGCAGAGCATCATGGAGTTAGCAAGTCTTTTGCCTCAGTACATCACATTTAGTTTTTTTTTATGGCAATTAGGTTATCTGATGTCCCAGAAATCAAAGTTCTCTCTCCCCTCCTTCCACCAACATGAAAAGAAAGAAGAATTTAAATGCCACCCTCAAAGTCTTTTGCAGATGTTGTTTGGTTGGTTCCGGGGGAGGAGGAGTTTCCTTTCTATTTATTATGTTAATTAATAGTAATAGTTTTTGCTGCTTCTGTAAACAAAAACAAATAGAAAACATTATTTGAATTGATATTGTTCCAACATTTTATTAGCTCTAATAGTAACATTTGATAACAGATACGGCTTCAACTTGAGACACTTTTAGCTGAGAAAGCTCGCCTGGCTCAAGAGAATTCTGTTTTTGCACGGGAGAACCGTTTTCTGAGGGAGATTGTCGAATACCACCAGCTTACCATGCAGGATGTTGTGTACCTTGATGAAGGGACTGAGGAGGTCACTGAAGTTTACCCTGTTAAGGTGCCTTCGACCTCTAATCTCCTATCGCTTGGAACAACGCCACCTTCATTACCACTGTCTCTGGCATCTCCATTTGCTTCTCATGATGCAACTCCATTAGTGACTCGTGATATTGCGGTGCATCCAGTTCCATCCTCGGAGCCCAAAGACGTCTTCCAATCTGTCACCCCACTTAGTTCCTATATCCCTATGCCAAATGAAGATCTGGGGAGACACTAATTTATTTGCTTGGATGGACTTTGTCTGATTTTTCTCCTTCAACAGAGGTTTGTATCGGCATAATATTAATTGATTCTTTTCCTACTTGCATATTTTTGGGCATTGTATCCCCATTATTGGCAATTGCAGGATTTAGTTGACAGCGTTTTGTGCTTCGTCTGTTGTCAAATATTAGAAAACCTAGGGAAAGGGGTGGGCCTCAAGCTTGTAACTGGTTTTAGAAGTAAGCTTGTAATTGTCTGTATGAAATTTCTCACTCACTCAGTGCGTGTATACCGTGAAGCTGCTGGTGGTTGGTCATTATCCTTGCAATTGGCTTGGCTTATAGTGCTACTATTGATTTTTTATTTGCATTTGCAGTGTGTTGAGTTGATCATTTTGTCTTAAGCAAGCTGTTCATGACCTTACAAGAGAGATTCCCGTTTCCTGCATCTTTGAAATTTTTATATAGCTCCGATCAATGTGGCAGCACGACTTTCAGGGGTTACTGCATCAATTTGAACTTTTGTATTCAGTTGCATGTTTAACTTTCTGTTGCACTGGGATAGTAGTATTCCCCTATTCGGTGTTGTCGTAACGTGTACACGCTGCTACTTCAGCATTATGACCATAAGGGTGGCTTGGCTCTAGAATTTTGCGAAGCTGATGAAGCAGAAGGTTAACAGCTAGACCTAGCATGCGGTTGCTGAGAATTTAGAACCCCGCTAAACAGAAGGCTGCCCATTCTTCTAAGGTGAGGCGCACTCGTGAAAGAACAGCGAAGACTGACGTAGAAAGGAAAAGGCCAAATGCAGAAGGGAAATCTAGCTGCCCATGAAAGATACAGAAGAAATGCTTTATCTGCGAGCAATCAAGAGGTCACGATTAAGCGTCTAACTAAGAGCAGTATTCCATTTTTTTTTCTCCCTTTATATTGTTTAAGGGTATAATCGCAATGTAGTCACATGTTAGATACATGAGATCCTTCCACAAAATAGTAGCAAAAAGAAATTCACAAGGACCACCACGAGGCTGAGCCAGACACCCTGAACGATGGCTTTCAGTATTTTTCTTCCATCAAGCTGGTCCAAGCGGTCCTGCCCAAATATTTATTTTTCTCATTTTACTGTCTTTTTATCTTTTGTAAATTGATTGGCCATATGCATTATGCCAATTTAGCGTAACATTAGGTGGTTGCTAGCTCGGCTCTTCTCCCCAAACCACTCTAAACATCTATCTCCCTCTCCCTCTACCCCTGTTGTTCATGGGATTATTGGTGATGGGGTTCCACTTCTAAGTTCTCACCACAATAAAAGGAAAAAAGAACGAATAAAGGAAACTCCATACTTGTAAAGAAAGGCGGCAATGGTCCCTACTCAGCTTTCATGGTCTAATCCTTGGCTGACATGTCCGAATTTAAGTGGGTAGGAGATGAGTAAATACTCTACAAGCGGTAGGGGTGGACACTGAACACCGCAACTCTCTCTTTTCTGTCTCGACACAGCTGTGTTTCTGTTTTGTGTGCGTATGACTGTATTAGTGTGTGGTTAGTTGCCCTCCACTTGCTTTTTATTTCCATTAATGTCTTGCCACACTTAATGCCTTCGGCCCTTCACTACCATTTTCTTGCCCAGATTTTTTGTCCTGCTATTTTCTGCTGGCATCGGTAAGAGGATTCGTGTCATTTCTCTCCCTCATATCTCTACCTATTTGTCAAAGATTCTATACGGGTGCATTCAAGTTCAAGATTACTTCTATTCTTTTGTAAGTTAGTCTGAGATACTTCAGCCCTTTGGCTTTTTAGTGAATCTCTACATATTTCCACACTAATTTACCTCCTCTAGGTTTGATGAAACAAAAGCATGGCCATTGTGGTTGAATCGGACAAAGCAGCTTTCAGATGTGGTCGTGAATGCTTGCGTTTTGGATGCGGTTACTTTCAGGGGATTCGTTAGATTATTCGCATTCTGATGCTTCTTGTTGCGTATTTTTACATCATTCTCTGGATTGTTCCAGTGCTTAGAGCTCAATCAGCTGCCGAATTATCTGCGCGCTCACTAGATTCACTACTTCAAGACTATGCTTTCAGGGCGTTGGTTGTTCGGCCCAGAACGGGCATTGTCTACGATGGCAACGTGCCATCCAACTTGACAGGGATTAAGGTTGCAGCATTGAGGCTGAGAAGTGGGAGCTTGAGAAGAAGAGGGGTTAACAGCTATAAAGAATTTCATATTCCAATTGGTGTTTTGGAGCAACCTTATGTTGAGAGGCTTGTGTTGGTCTATCACAACTTGGCAAATTGGTCTTCCTTGTATTACCCTTTACCTGGTTACACATATTTGGCACCAATTGTGGGTCTCCTGGCTTATGATGCAGTCAATTTGTCAGCCAGAAATCTACAGGAATTGGACATCCGAGCCTCCAAAGATCCCATAACTATCCACCTACCGAACGTCCAACTGGTGCCTGAAGGATTGTCGCCAAAATGTATTTCTTTTGGTTTGGATGGCTCATTTCAATTTGACAATGTCATTAACCGGAGTGCCTGTTCTGCTGCAAAACAAGGCCATTTCTCTATAGTGGTTGAGTTCACAGCCCCGGCTCCGGCTTCGGCTCCAGCTCCTGGTGGAGGTACCGGTAGACAGGGAGGCGGCGGTGAGAAGAACAATCACAAAGTCTGGATAATCGTTGGGTCTGTGGTTGGGGGAGTGCTGCTGCTGCTACTGCTATGTATTCTTCTTGCTTGTCTGAGGAAGTATAGACGGCGAAGAAACATACAGAGAATGGAGGAAGCAGCAGAGAGAGGGGAGCCCTTGCTAATGGCAAATGTTGGATTTACGAAGGCGCCAGTGGCATTGGAGACTCGAACTAGACCATCATTGGAAGATGATTACGTGCCCTAGTATTTGGTTCTTGCTTGACAATACGTTTCTGGTAAAAGTAAAACTTCAATTCGTGACATTATTGATTTAACACAATTCTTTTTTCAAAGATGTGATTTTTCTTGATTTTGATCAAAGGCAATATTATTGTTGCACTCCCTATTCGATTTCTTTCTGAGTCTCTACTGCTAGTATTGGACCTCAGCCCCTCAGATCCATATCTATCCGGTCGATGTGGTTCTTGAAGATCGAAGTAAAGGCAAGTGCCGATACAACAATTCCGCATAAAAGCCTAAAAGGTAAATGCAGAGTTGCACATAGAAGTTTAGCGAAGCATCTGAAGTTCATCACTGCAATTATTCGATCCTGCATAAGTAATAGTGAACTAGGAACTACGAACAAGAAAGTGTATATATTACTAATCCGTTTTAGCAATGTAAAGCAATTATCGTCTTACCATGACTTTGCGCATCCTAGCACTACCAGCCAGTTAAGATTTAGACATTTGGGATTCCTACTGATCTCAACACATGCTGCACAGTCCACCATATTCCGTCATCTGCTTTCTGCATTCTGCAGTCCTCTAATGTCTCCTTGTGCAAATATCTTTCCACCATGTCCGATTGGTGCTTATGGCCGCATGTGAACTCATCATTCTGTCACATAGTCCAAACGTTGAGCTGGACAATCTAGTACAAGGGAAAAGAAAAAAAAAAAGGGACATTGCTCAAAAGTTCTCAATTCCAACTCATTGTCATGGTTCTTGGTTGCTGAAATATTAGTTGTCACTGCTAAAATCGTGACACAAGATGTTGAGGTAAGGTATATTTAGATTAGTAGTCAATAAAGAAAGCAGCAGCACACGTTGGCTGCTTTGTTATACACTAGTACTAGTTAATCGATTCACACCTGGAAAAGGACAAAATGAGGGGCGGATCAAGTCATTGTCTCTCTGACTTTAGTCCTTCTTCAAGTGCAACCAGCATCTGAGAAGATCCAACTTTTGCGAAATTGATCTTCAATCTCTTTCTGCCGGTGTTGTTTTCCATGGAAGTGCGCAAATCAACCATACAAGCCGAAGTCCAAAAGAAACGAACCCAAAGGACGAAGGATATAGGGAACGCGCTTTTACCTTTACTGTGTTGATTGTCTAATAAGCTGGGCAAAGAGATTTTCTGCTCTCCCATGGAAAAAACCCCGCTAAAGTATCCCCTTTTAGTTGAGAAATAAGCAACAGAAGATACATATGGCACTGGTTAAATCTGTTACAAAAGTAATAGATCATCTCATGCTGGTCAGTGTTGACTCCATCAAAGCTCAGCTTGCACCATTCAGCCCAATTGCGGAATGCAACTCAAAATGGAAGATTAAATGGGTAATACCCCGCATGAAGTGAAATTTGAAGATATTTTTTTTTCATTTGGGAGAGATTAAATCCACACGCCTTCGTCTTAAATCTACACTTAACGGTACAAGTTAGTATTAATGTTAACAATACAAGTCATTTATGCATCAAGGGTGCGAATTTGACCAATCCCTTTTCTTTTTCCATTTTCATTGTAAAAGAAACATCTTAGTTGGTTTGTGGCTTCTCCGGGCACGTCTGAGCTATGTGCATTGTTTGAAGTAGAAAAGAGCAGGAATCGAACTTCTGAACTAAGTCCTGGAAATTCCAGCCTTGGCCCTTGACCCTTGACGACAAAAATAATAGGAGTACGACGTTGTTGGTGGTAGTGTAGTATGTCAAAGGCCAAGTTGAAGAATGACTACTTGATGACCGCAATCTTAGATCACTCAAAATTCAAGTTCCCAACTAATTTATGGCACAAGTGAGTTTTTTGGGTATTTGTCTGAAATTTTATTATAACTTACTTTAAAAGTTTTTTAAAAATTTTTTGAATATTTCGAAGTGTATAGTTTAAAAATCTTAAAAAGTTTTTTAAAGTTACTGTAGTTAAAATTTTTTAAAAAATTTGTAGCAGACAAACTTAACAAAAAAACTTGTCTGCCAAACAAGGCCTACGTTTTACTAGTCAAACCAGTCAATCTAAGCAAATATCCTACTGAAAAGTAAACTGCTGCATTAAATTTTGCCTCATTCCAGAGAGCGTTTTAGATTGGATGGATTCGCCAAGCTGGGCAGCTGCCAGTTGAGGTCCCAATACAGCTTTCATGAATTCAAGACAGAACGCAACTAGGACAGGACTTGCCTATTAACAAATGTGTCTAGTTTTTCTATACCCCGCTGGTGATTTTCTTTCTGGAACAGAGAAAAGAGGGAAGAAAAACAGAAACTAAAATACTCCCACAGATAACCGGGGCTCCAGACTCCAGAACTAGCTGTGGCAATGTCAATGTCAATGATGATCCATAATACGCTGTCTTTTTCTTTTACCGCGTCAGAACTCGGGGACTCTCTGGATAATCATATGTGCAGGTAGATTGGTTAACGAGAACGAAATAACTGATCGGTCTAGGTATCTTGTATAGGTTTGGAAATTTTTAGACAGCCTTTGTAACAGGTTAAAATTCAATACAAACACTTGCAGTTTTTACAGCCTTTGCCCCTTCTCCATGATCATATTTTCGATGTGCAATAGACAGTAAATCGATTCCAACACCCACTCACAAAGCAATATCAAGTTTCTAATACACCCTGTTCTACTAGACAAGGTCCAAATTGTGTCGATGCAGTTAAACCTTCACGTACATAAAAAGACAACAAGGATACATACATGATGGAGATATGATTTTGGTTAGTAATATTCGTAGTACCACTACCGTCGGCCGTCGCCAGTCACCACACTGGCTGGCTAGGATGGATGGTTTGCATCTAATTAATATATATATATATATATATTTCGACAACGAATTGTGGGGTAGATGATGAGAGTAGAGGACTAATTTAGACTAGGACCAAGAAATTCCCACAGATCAACAAACTGCAATCCACGCATTGTTGTCTCTGGCCCAACGTGCACTGCCATGTAGTACTTTCTAGGCAATCTTTAAAGGAATCCAATGCTTCCCCCCTTGTGGCCCTTTACCATAACACACCTGATCATCCCTCTTAATTAATTCTCCAAGTTTGTGAAGGGGAATATATCGATTGCGGACAGAATCAGACAATTTTTCAACAGTTTGCACGCAGACTAGTGGTTGGTTGGTTTAATTTAATACGTACTACAGTATATTAAATCATGACTTAATTAGCATCCCCCTGATTAGGATAGCTGTGGCAGTTTTCGCTTCGGGTGGGGTTGACAGTTTCCAGGAGATTGGAGTGGGTGCTATATACTGCTATATATGCTCATTTAGGAAAAACCATGGCACTATTTATTAAGGTTGCAGATGGGGTGTAAACTGTAAAGGAGAAGTGCTATTTATTAAGGCTGTAACCATTGCTCGTGACAACTATTAAGGTTTTGTCATGTAGAACTCATGATGCAGAATTGTTGTCGCAATATCGAATCTAAGACGTTCTATGTTGTGGGCAGATGAGGCTGCTGCTGCTTTCTGCTGCTTCTGTTTCTGCTTCTTCACATACTTGTCGTCTGCATCGTTTGCTGCTGGTCTTCCTTCTTCTGATAACAGCTGCTAGCTGGATATCTAACCCACCCTTAATCTACTACTACACTACACATGCAGGCATAGGAATTAGTTGGTCCGGTCCAGATTAGTCTGCTTAATTGGATATATTCAAGTCGTATTCTACCACCTAACACATTTAAGTGGAAAAAAAAGGCGACCCTATACAATTTTGTTCGAGTGAAACATGTGGTTGATTTTTGGCAAACCATCATATTTCTCTTCGTTATCTTGTAACTCTGAATGAACTTGAATCTACGGGTATTTATTGAGATAGGCACAAAATCTGCTTCTCTGTAATTTTGCTTCTTTTGTCCTTGAGATAGACACAAAAAAAGAGAAAAAAAAAAAAAACTGTGGAAGTACGATGGACTGATGAACAATGATAGTGGTAAATAGGGTCTTGACATTTGAGTGTCTGAGGCAAATTGAAAATAAAAAGAGAGGATTAGAAAAAATCTAGAATTATAATAATAAATAGTTTTATGTCGTTTTGTGTAGTACTGATATATAAGTTTATAAGCGCGCACATATCCGCGACTGTTCCGCAATCCGCCATGATGCGAATATTCGGACTCCAGCGACCGTTCGTTGGCTATTTTTAAAGAAAGAAATATACAAGGAACACATCAATTAACATGACTTAAAATAAGGACTCATTACTGTCTGATTTGGACATTTGAAAAGGATTTAAATGAAATCAATTATTGACGAGAGTAAAAAACAAAAGCATGGAAGCACAAATTTGCCTCGACCCCCAATATGTATTTCCTTTAATTTTTAATGACAGCTATCTAAGAGTGTCTTAAGGGGAATGGAGAAAATATATTGCAAGAAGCTCTTCTTTTTTTTTTTAAAAAAAAAAAGAGTGCTTTCAAGTTATACAAGGTGAAAGATTCAAAGAAGGAAAGTGTAAAATTTGATAATCAAATCAAGACTTCAAGGTCATCTGACTAATATTCTCATCAGTTATGTTGGGTATTAGAGAAGCAAGCATTTTCTGCACTTCAAACGAGTAAATAAAGTAGTGTTTGTTAATTTTTTTTTCACATAAAACTTTTTTGCAACTTAACTAAATACAACATTATTTTTTATATATATCTAATTAATTGGATAAAATTTTAACTGCCATCTGAAAAACATCTTTTTGTAAGTTAATAAGCAGAGAAATTGTAAAGTTTTACTTTTATTTACCGGGGATAATTTTATAAACCTCCCATGAGCTTTCTATCAATTTCACTAAGCTCTCTCAAGGATTTGAAATTTACACTTGTCTCATTTGATTTCACACTTTTAGTAACTAAACCTTAAAATAGGGTCAAAAATTTAATGAAAACCTTATAATGTCTGCTTCTAATAAAGTTTGATTTATTCTTCTAAAGAATTATAAAGTAATTTAGCACAATTATAAAAGAATGTGTGTCAAGTTTTTTATGCTCATATTTGTCATTTAATAATTAACTACGATAATAAAACTCATTATGATAGGCTGCTTTTAATAGTACTTTATTGGAGATATAAATTCTTTTAAGATGGAGAAGAAAGTGTCATGGATAATTTTTTAAAGTTTGTAGATTAGTGAA